CGTGCCTGGGGGCGCCGCGATCTGGGGCCGCGGCGGGCTGGGTGGCCAGCCGCGGCGCCTGCGCCCTTGTCGTCCTCGCCGTCGTCATGTCCTCGTTCTCGTCCGCCATCATCTGCGTCTCTTCGCGCCCGCGCCTCCGGCGCCGCGGGTCGCCCCCGTCTGATTCTGGGCCAGGCCTGCATCCCACTGCGGGGGGCGCGCGGCGCGCGTGAGGTCGCTGCCCCTTGCCCTGATCTCCGCGGGCCCCGCGGCGGCTTGCCCTCCTCGCGCGTCGGCGGGGCGCCCATCGAGCGGGGCCCCGCCGACGCCTGCCGTGACCATCGCCTCGCCGCCGCTGCAGGGCCGCGCCCTCTCGGCCGACGGCCGAGGCGTTTGTTCTCTCGGGGCCGCGGGCCCCCGCATCCCCGCTCGCCTGGCGCCGAGATCGGCGGCGCCTGCCCGCCCGCCCCCCCGCGCGATTCCCGCCGGCGTCGCCTCTCTGCGACAGCGCTGCGAACGCGCCCGGGGCGGGCCCGGCGCCCCCCTCAGCGGAGCGGCGAGCCCCTGTCCTTGATCGCGCTGAGAGGGCGGCCCAATGCCGCAAAGCGCCTGCGTTTGAAAGATGATGGCCTGACCCGCGCCCGCCTGCCCAGGCCGCCATCGAAGAGCTTGAAGCCGAGGGCCTCCGCAGGGACCTCCTGCCGCCCTGCCTCTGGCAACCCAGACGCGCCCGTCCTCGCCGCCAGCGCCGGGGGCCACCGCGGCGCGCTGGAGGCCCGCCCCGCCCGCGCGGGCGCGCGGCTGCGCCGCGCGCGAATGCCTGCGAGGCCCGCCGCGGAGCCCGCGCGCCTCGAAGAGGGGGCGGCCCGCGAGGGAACGGGCCGACGTTTGCCTCTCGAAGGCCCCCTCCTCGGCCCTGTTCGAGCCATCTCGAGCTCTCGCGCTGGCGCGGCGCAGGCGCGTCGCGCGAGGAGGCACGGGGGAGATGGAGGAGCGAAAAGGGGGGGAGAGAGAAGAGCAATACCTATTTCCACCATGACCCCCCCTCTTCTCGTCGGCGAGGCCCCGGACCTGTTCCGGCGAGAACTGCGAGGGGGACCACCCGCGGTGGCGAGAAGCCAGTCTGCCTGGAGGCCCAGAAAGAACTGACAATTCGAACCTCGGGGAAGCTCACGCCCCGCAGAAATCCTGGCGGAATCTCGCCCAAGATCTTGCCGAGCTTTGCGCTGCTCCAAAACGCCCTCGTCGACGCCGTCGCCGTCGCGTCGGCGTCGTCGTCGTCGTCGCCGTCGCTGGCCCTCGTGCAGCCGCGGCGTCGGCGTCGGCGTCGGCGCCAGCGTCGCCGTCGGCGTCGTCGCCACCATCGGCGGCCCTCCCGGCAGTCCCCGCAGCGCGGCGCGAGCGGTGACTGCGCCAAGTCGACTCGATGTTTTCTCGTCATACCGGGCCGCGCCGCGCGCCCCTCGGCGGGCTCTCAGGAGGAGGAGGGTGAGGAGGATGACGACGAGCAGGGGGAGGAGGAGGAAGAGGAGGAGGAGTGAGGAGGGGGAGGAGGAGGAGGAGGAGGAGGGAGGAGGAGGAGGAGGAGGAGGAGGAGGGAGGGAGGAGGAGGAGGAGGAGGAGGGGGAGGAGGAGGAGGAGGAGCAGGGGAGGAGGAGGAGGAGCGGGAGGGGAAGGTGAAAGAACAGTGCTTAGGAGGAGGTTGAAGCGTCTAGGGAAGCGGAGTAATGAGGTGGAGGAGGAGGAGGAGGAGGAGGAGGAGGAGGAGGAGGATAACCGCCGTCGTCATCGTCAACCACCGTCGCCGATCACCGTCGCCGATCGTCGATCGCCCTCGAAACCTCCCCCCCCGCTCCTCCTCTTCCTCCTCCTCCTCCTCCTCCTTTGCCTCCTCTTCCTCCTCTTCCTCCTCCTCCTCCTCCTCCTCCGGAAATCATGTTCCCGGAGAGGCTTCCGGGGACAGGATTTCGAACGACTCGGAAAAGCTGAGCCCAGGGTGGCTTTGCGCGCGCGGACAGCGTCGCCGTCGTCGGCGTGGCCGTCGTCGTCGTCGTCGTGGTCGCCGTCGAACGTCGATCGGCGGCGTCGACTGTTGTCATCGTCGTCGATCGTCGTCGTCGTCGGTCGTCGACCGTCGTCTTCGTCGTCGTCGTCGTCGTCAGTAACCGTCGCCGATCACCGTCGCCGATCGTCGATCGCCCTCGAGCCTCCTCCTCTCTCCCCCCTCCTCCCCTCCACTCCTCCTCCTGCTCCTCTTCCTCCTCCTCCTTTTTCCACTGGCTCTCCCTTCACTGCTACATTCCATGAACGAGGCAGCTGCGAATAGATCAATCAAAAAGCTTGCTCAGTTGGGTTCCGCGGACGGGTGGCCGAGCACAGCGCCGCACACGAGCCGTAGCCCCGCGGACGGGTGCCCAAGCCACAGCGCCGCTCACTGGCCCAACTCCTCTCAACTCTCATCAATAGAAACCTGACCTGAGGCATACGTTGTGAGAACGCAAACTGACTACTGATAACAAGACAGAAATCACTGCTGTGGACAGCTGACGTCGCCAGCGGGCGGGGCAATGCCAGGCAAGCCGGTCACCTTGCGTCGCCCTTGGACACATGAGCTCAGCCAATCGCGCCTCCGAATGAAAGGTCTGCGCGGCTGGCTGCTGCAATCAACAGTGTGTAATGAGATATCGCGAGTGTAATCCAGACGAGACGACCTCCTCCTCCTTTTCCTCTTCCTCTTCCTCCTCCTCCGCCCTCTCCGCCTCCTCCGCGCAGAAGAAATCCAACTACATCTCGCGCAAATCAACGAACTGTTCGAACCCCCTCGGTTTTCAAAGGGGGGGGGACGGGTTGGAAACCTCCAGTGACCCCCCCCCCGGCTTTCTGCAAGCAGCGGCAGAACACGCTCTTTCAAATGTGCGTGCCTTGTCAGTCGATAGTGCAGTGTGTTTTTTGCTTGATCGGCGGCCGTTAGTCCGCTTGTCCAAGAATCGCACGTAATACGGCAACGGCGACGAAGAGGACGGCGACCGACGTCGACGATGTCGTCGTCGTCATCGCCAGTGGTAGTCGTTAGCTGGCGGGGAATACGGGGGGGAGGGGGATATCTGGGGGGGAGGGATGTTTAACGAACCCCTCCGTCCCAGCCCAAGCGCACGTGAAAAGCGCTCCCTAAGAACAAACCTCACAATGGGCACCCGTACAAGCGAAGTCCTCTGGCAAACACACCTGAGAAAATAATCGAATATAATGTAAAGGACAGGAGCGTTGGGCAAACTACAGTTATGCAGGTCAGGGTGACGGAGATGGAAGACGAACAGCGAAGCCAATCAGATAAACCGAATCCAAGTGGCACGCGTGCCCTGACTCTTGAGGAGCAGCGAGAGACAGAAAGAAGATGAGGGAGAGACGAAGGGGCCGTCTCTTGGGGCCATCCTGGGGCGTTCTTGCGGCCATTTGGGAGAATCTCCTGGGGCCTCTGGGGACGACCATCTTGGGGCTCCCTCAGAACTGTCAGGGGCAGGTTAAAGGGCATAGGGGCCGTCTCAGTAAGGTTGATCCCACGCAGACCAATGTAGCTGTCGCAGGTATCTGCATCTCACTGCTGCATTCGTTTTTCCAACCCAGGCTGACGATGATCCTTTATATCCGATCGCATCCGATCCTCCTCCTCCTCCTCCTCCTCGTGCCACGTCCTCCTCCTCCTCCTTCCAATGCTCATCGATCATCATCCACGATCCTGCTCATCGATTGTCCTCCTCCTCCTCCTGCCTCTCCTCGATCCTCCTCCCTATCTCCTCGAGCATCCTTGATCATCGATCTCTTCCACCACCTCCTCGTCCTCGATACTCGATTATCTTCCTCCTCCTCATCCTAAGCTTCGATCCTCCCCCTCTTCCTCGATGCTGTCCGGTCATCGATCACGCTCTTCGATCACCGATCCTAACTTATCACCGTCATCCTCGATTATCATCCTGCTCCTCATCCTCCACCACCCTCCTCGATCATCAATCCTCTTCCTCGATCCTGCTCATCCGCCTCCTCGATCCTCGATCCTCGGTCCTCGATCCTTGGTGCACAATCAACCTTCTCCACCTTTGCTTCCTTCTCCTCCTCATCATCGATCGCGATCCTCCTCCTCGTCCTTTTCCTCCTTCTCCTCCTCCTCCTCCTCCTCCTGATCGATCGCCATCATCCTCCACCTCCTCCTCCTCATTATTATTACGATGATTATTCGTATTATTAGTATTATGATTATTGGTATTCGTATTATTATAATAATTATTTTCATTACTATCATCGTCATCGTCATCGTCATCGTCATGACCATCGTCATCATCATCATCACCATCATCATCATCATCATCATCATCATCATCATCATCATGACCATCATCGTCATCATCAGCATCAGCATCATCAGCATCATCACCACCACCACAACCATCACCAACACCATCACCATTACCGTCACCAGAATCATCACCAGCATCATCATCATCACCTCCACTATCACCATCACCATCACCACCATCATCATCACCATCATCACCAGCATCAACATCATCAGCATCATCATCACCACCATCATCTGCATCATCATCATCATCATCATCATCATCATCATCAACAACAACAACAACATCATCATCATCATCATCATCATCATCATCATCATCATCATCATCATCATCATCATCATCCTGATCCTGATCCTGATCCTGATCCTGATCCTGATCCTGATCCTGATCCTGATCCTCATCGTCGTCGTCATCATCATCTACCGTCGTTATCTGCCTTGGATCTCCTCCAACCTCGAGCCTCGATCCTCCTCCTCCTCCTCCTCAACCCCATATCCTCGATCTCCCTCCTCCTGTGCCCCTCGGCCCTGGATCCTCGATCCTCCTCCCTCTCCCTCGATCCTAATCGACCTTCGACCCACGGTCCTCGATCCACGTCGCCCCCTCGGCCAGGGCAGTGCACGGCGGCAGCGGCGGGGCGGCGGCCGGCGGACGGGCGCCCGCCCCCGCTCGATCTTCTCGTCCTCCCCCGAGCGGGCGCGGGGCGGAGGGCGCGCACACTCGCGGCTGCAGGGCGCGTTTGTCTCGAGGCGATCTTATCCGGTGCGGACGTCCGGCCACCTGTCGGCGGCGAGCGAGGGGGGAGAGGCTTCTCAGAAGCCCTCGCGCCTCCCGAGAGGCGTTCTGTGTCTTCGGGAACGGCTCAGCAAACTTCCCAGGAAGGCCAGGGGACTTCCGAGCCTTCTGAGAAGGCCCGCCCCTCCTCACTCCCCCCCAGGCCCGCCTCCGAACCTGGGAGCCAGAGGCCCTGCCAACCCCTGCCGACGGCACCCCCACTCCAGCAAGCGTCGCATGCACACCCTGGCGCGCACGGGCGAGCAGCGCAGATCATGGATACACGTGCTGCGAGCGCCGAGCGTGCTGGGGCCCGGACGCCATGCAAAAGCAAAAAGGCCTCCAGCGGGAAAGCCCCCCCTGGGAACAGGGAAGAGCGACACCACCAACACCACCAGTGCGAGGAGCCAGGGGCAGAAGCCACCCACCTGGGGTCCGAGCACCATCGCCACGTCGCTGATGCATCGGCGACGCATCGACGATACGGTGTGATCGTCTGGCCCCATTTACTCGGACCCCGTTTGAGAAGCCCGGAACCACCACCAGCGCGAGGAGCCCATCGGCGGCGAGCCCGGGGGGGAAGTGAGAAGCGGTGGGCCTGCCCGGAAGTCTCGGATGTCCCCAGGCCTTCTGACAAGTTTCCGACGCCTTCCCAAAAGACGCAGATAACCTCTCAAAGGCGCGAAGGCTTCTGAGAAGCCCCGCGGCATTCTGAAACAGTTTTTTTCTGATCACTGCCTCTCCTCGCTCGCCTCCCCGCGCGAGACGCCCCCCGAACCCAGTTCGGGGATGCATCGTGGACCTCCGCGAAGCCGCGAAGGAGGTGGAAACTACGGTGGTTTTTGACCACTCGCCGCGCCTCTTCCCCAGGGGGCAAGGTGATGTGTGGGGAGATAGCACATGCTACTCAAGACGTGCGAAGGCGAAGCCAACACTGATTTTTCCAACAACACAGATCAGCATGCGCCGTGGACCTTCACGGAGGGTTCTCGGGAGAAACGAGGCGCATCGCGTGCGCCGACTGCGTAGATCATTGCACCAAGCTTTGCCGCGCGCCCCATAGCCATACTAAATGTCCTTGGGGGCGGGAGGGCCATTAACAACTAACTCACAATTGGGTGTCCCACAGAGGCGACCAACCTCATAATAGCGAGGACGGGCCGATCGGTAAAAGAGCTACTCTTGGCACGCTGCTGTCGGGAGAGCTTGGCGGTCTGGCGGAGCAGCGTGCCATGTTTTTCGTGCGCTCGGACACTGGCTGCGGCCCGCCAGCGTCCCCGGCCCTGGATCTGCTGAAGCCACGGACAGCATGCAAGGCATCGCGGGACGGGCCGCCATGCCGAAGCTGGCGTGGCACATTGATGAGGTCATGCGCACCAGCTTTCAGCGCTGCTTCTCTGGGAAGCTTCTCATGCACAGCAACAATTGAGGGGAGTCGAACAGAAGAGGGGAAGGAGGCGACAAGGAGCGGGAATGTGTCTGGAGCGCCTACAATATTCCTGGACATATGTGGCGGATCGTAAACTCGGGCGGCGCAATCAAAATCGCGAGTCTTCGCATCGTCGTGGGTTGTGGCTGGGCGGTGCGGTGATATCGGCCACGTCTTGTCGGCCCGTCCTCTGCTGGCCAAAGATGCGACGGTCTCCGACGATATGCGAGACTTTGAGGGGCAACGTTTCAATAGGTCTCAGATACATGCCAAATTGAACAAGGACGGCCAACGCCGTCACAGCCGCTGGCAAGCTGCATCACCAGGAACAGCACGGCGTCCCAGGGTGGCGGCGGCCTCATCGACGCAGGCCGCCTGGCCGCCCAGGCGCCCAGGGCGTCCTTTGACTTCTGGAAGTGCGGGCGACCGGCGGGCCAGCCGCGGATCTTGCGAAAGCCAGTAGAAGATATTCTTGGCAAGATACACGGGTTCGCCCGCAACGATAAGATCCTCGCCGCGCAGGTTGACGGTTATGTCAGCGCTGTCGACTGTGTCCAACAGTAGTCCCATCGACGAGGCGCAGCCCTCGAGCTCCGCCACCGCAGCTGCGCAGGCGTCCCTCGTGGCCGGCCGCGGCCTCGCCAGCCGCGGGCAGTCGCCTGGCGCCCAGCCCTGCCCCGCGAGCGAAGCGTCGGCCCGAACCGCCGACGCCGCCCTCCGCTGCCGCCCGCCAGCGCCCCCGGCCTTGGATCTGCTGAAGCCGCGGACAGCGTGCAAGGCGTCGCGGGACGGGCCGCCATGCCGAAGCTGGCGTGGCACATTGATGAGGTCATGCGCACCAGCTTTCAGCGCTGCTTCTCTGGGAAGCTTCTCATGCACAGCAACAATTGAGGGGAGTCGAACAGAAGCGGGGAAGGAGGCGACAAGGAGCGGGAATGTGCCTGGAGCGCCTTCAATATTCTATTCCTGGACATATGTGGCGGATCGTAAACTCGGGCGGCGCAATCAAAATCGCGAGTCTTCGCATCGTCGTGGGTTGTGGCTGGGCGGTGCGATGATATCGGCCACGTCTTGTCGGCCCGTCCTCTGCTGGCCAAAGATGCGACGGTCTCCGACGATCTGCGAGACTTTGAGGGGCAACGCTTCAATAGGTCTCAGATACATGCCAAATTGAACGAGGACGGCCAACGCCGTCACAGCCTGGAGCAGAGAGCCGCTGGCAAGCTGCATCACCAGGAACAGCGCGGCTTCCCAGGGTGGCGGCGGCCTCATCGACGCAGGCCGCCTGGCCGCCCAGTCGCCCAGGGCGTCCTTTGACTTCTGGAAGTGCGGGCGACCGGCGGGCCAGCCGCGGATCTCGCGAAAGTCAAGATACACGGGCTCGCCCGCAACGATAAGATCCTCGCCGCGCAGGTTGACGGTTATGTCAGCGCTGTCGACTGTGTCCAACCGTAGTCCCATCGACGAGGCGCAGCCCTCGAGCTCCGCCACCGCAGCTGCGCAGGCGTCCCTCGTGGCCGGCCGCGGCCTCGCCAGCCGCGGGCAGTCGCCTGGCGCCCAGCCCTGCCCCGCGAGCGAAGCGTCGGCCCGAACCGCCGACGCCGCCCTCCGCTGCCGCCCGCCAGCGTCCCCGGCCTTGGATCTGCTGAAGCCGCGGACAGCATGCAAGGCATCGCGGGACGGGCCGCCATGCCGAAGCTGGCGTGGCACATTGATGAGGCCGTCGGCGCCCGGCCTCCGCGCGCGGCACGCGCAGCGGCCGTCGGCGCCCGGCCTCGGGGCGGCGCTCTGCCGGCGGCGGGGGCGGGGCCTCCGCGGCCGCGGGGGGTCGTCGCGACGACCAGGTCCGCGGGCTGCCCGCTCCTGCGTCAGCGGCGCGACCCCCCGAAGCCGCGAGGCCTCGGGTCGAGCGCGCCCGGCCAGGAGTCGCGCCGGGCTTGCCCCGGTCGGCGGGGTCGCGCGAGCGCGGCCCCTCGGCGTTGATCGATGCGACCCCGAGCTCGCCGGCGGTGACCTCCACGTCGAAGCGCGCCCAGGAACCGCAGGGCGGGTCGCTGAACTGGTAGAAGCTGTCCTGCAGATCCACCTAGCCAGCGCGCAGCGAGTCGAAGCAGCCGTCGAAGTCGGCCAGGTCCTCGGGCCCCCCCCGACGCCGCAGTGGTTAGAGGGGGCAGTCGGTGAAGCTGGTTCGCCTGTCGAGCGTCCACGACCGCGCGGATGTCCCCGTTCTCCTCGGCCACGAAGAGCGCCCCGACACAGGCCTTCGGACGCCGACGACCATCCACGAGGCCACGCGCGGCCACCCTGACCAGAAAGCCCACGAGCCTCGGGCGATTCGCTTCCGTGCGGGGGCGGAGCAGCGGGCCCCAGCACAGCTCGACGATGTCTTCCTCGGGAGAGATGTCCGCCGCAGGTCGCGTCACCTCAGGATCGACACTGCCGACGCCCTCGACCACCGGGTCGGCGATCAACCAGCGGGCCATCCGAGCACCAGGGGGCCCGGCAGGGACGGCCACGCCCAGGACGCGAGCGAGGTTGCGGGCCTCGACCCGCAGGTGGTCGAGCGCATCCTGATCCAGGTCGCCGAAGGCGTAGAGGTTGCCTCGGACCCGCTGCGGGAACGGGGCGTTCCGTGCCAGCGCGACGACGAAGTGGGAGGCGAGCTGCACCACGAAGATCCCCATCGGGCGTCGCCCCGACCCATTCTCCCGGCGCGTGGCCGGGCACCTGCAGCAGTCTGTGGTGCCATCTGAATTTCTCGTCGTCGCCGAAGCTGATGCACAGCTGGCTCTCGACGACGTCCAAAGTCCGCGCGCCCGCGGCCATCAGGCACGAATGGCGCGGAACCGAAGCTGAACTGGGCCATCACGGACGCCTGCGGGCGTCGGGCGGGGATCGTCGTCGCCCTTGACCAGCAAGGAGGTGACACGCCTCATGAGCCGCGAGAGGCCCACAATGCTCGCCGCCGCGACCACCGCCAGCACCGCGCCGCCGACGAGGCCGAGCAGCCACCCAACCGTGAAGCCCCAGCAGGCGGCCGGGGCAGGCGTCGGGCAGGCCGGCGCGGGCGCCTCCTCGCAGCCCGCCGCTGGGCAGGCCGGGTAGGAAGCCTCCGGCGCCGCGGCCCAGCTGACCGGCGGGCAGGCCGGGCACGGCGGGCACGAGCCGCAGTGGGGCGCTCACCGCAGCTCCGCCGCCGGGCAGGGCGGGCAGCCAGGGCAAAGGGGGGGCCGCGAGACCCAGGCCGCCCCCAGCTGCCCCAGCCAGGGCCCCGCGGCGCAGAGGGCGCCCAGCATCCACCGCGGAGGCCACGGAGCGCCCCCCTCCGAACAGCTTTTGAGCCACCGCATCACCAGGGATCGAAAAATAGATGCGATCAAGAGGCTCCGCTCTAGGAAAACAAGTCTGACGACAAAGCATGGCTGAGTGTCAGCTCCTTCCTCCGACCTTCTCTAGTCCGATCCAAGCATGCGATGCCTGGAAGACTACCTACCAAACCACCCCTACCAAACCCGACGACCCAAATTTCGTGCTGTTGGGGGGGAACGGGTTCCATATGCGTCTTTTCCAAACCATCCTGTTGTGTTGGATCGTCTTTTGAAGAGACAGCGCACCGTGTTCCTTCCTTGCTTCATTCCCGCTGCCCCCTCCCTCCTTCCCTACTTCCCTCCTCCCATCCCCCTCGTCATCGTCATCGTCATCATCGTCATCATCGTCATCATCATCGCCATCGTCATGATCCACATCATCATGATCATCACCATCGCCATCGTCAGCGCCGCGCACCTCACACGGTTCGTGGCACCACAGGGAGCTCCACCGAAGGCCTAAGTAGCAGCGGTTGCATCCGTCATCGCCGCCCCATGTTGGCACACCCCTCACACGGTTCGTGGCTCCATAGGGAGCTCCACCGAAGGCCCCAGCGGGAGCGTGCGCATGGCACCGCCACCCCATTTTGGCACACCCCTCACACGTTTCGTGGTTCCACAGGGAGCTCCACCGAAGGCCCCAGCGGGAGCGTCCGCGTGGCACTGCCGCCTCATTTTGGCCCACCCCTCACACGGTTCGTGGTTCCATAGGGAGCTCCACCGAAGGCCCCAGCGGGAGCGTGCGCATGGCACCGCCGCCCCATTTTGGCCCACCCCTCACACGGGTCGTGGCCTCACACTGAGCTCCACCGAAGAACCCAGCGGGAGCGTCCGCATGGCACCGCCACCCCATTTTGGCCCACCCCTCACACGGTTCGTGGCCCCATAAGGAGCTCCACAGAAGACCCAAGCGGGAGCGTCCGCATGGCACCGCCGCCCCATTTCGGCGCACCCTTCACACGGTTCGCGGCCCCCGAGGGAGCTCCACCGAAGGCCCCAGCTGGAGGATCCGCATGGCACCGCCATTTCATTTCGACGCACCCCTCGCACGGTTCGTGGCCCCATGGGGAGTTCCCCCGAAGGCCCCAATGGAAAAATTTGCATGGCACTGCCGCCCCATTTCGGCACACCCCTCACACGTTTCCCGGCCTTATAGGGAAACTCCACGGAAGGCCCCACTGGCGACGTTCGCAGGAGTCCTCCCGACTCATGCCCGCACACCCTTCACACGCTTGGTGGCAAAAGGCTATACCGCATGCGCTACTCGGAGTTTGCGTGCCCCCCTCCTTCGTCTCATCCCCCTCGCGGCACCCGCAGCTGCATATGGTTGGGTCCTTCGTCCGGCTAATTGTTCAATGTCCCCAGACGCCCGCACACACTGGGATTTGAGAGCAAATTGGGCTTCGGGTTAGTTGGGGTGGCTTGATGGGTGGTGACTGGAAGTCGGCACCAGCACCAACACAAGGGGGTATCTCCACCAAGTGAAAATGATCTTAGACCTGTTTGGCGCTATTGGTCGTATATCCTCGCAACCTACGAATCACGACTATTACCACCATCGCCAAAATCGGGATCATCATAAATCTACTGCAGAAAACAAGACAACTGCATACTCGTAAACTTTCGAAACTCCGACAGTTCACGTACATGTCGCTCTTTGTTGCTAGAAATCTCACATCTCGGTGGGGGTGGGCAACCGCCGATGCCGGCGCTGGTGCCAACAACTACGGCAGGTTGGCGTCGTGCCGACCGTGGCGCTGGCTCTTGACACCGCGAAGATCGCTCGACCTTGAACGATCGGCCGTCTCCAAAACGTCAGATATCGGGGATCTACTGTCCCGTCCCGGGTCAAGCCAAGCCTGGGTCAGTCAGGCCTTGCAGGGTCCTGCAAGATCCTGCGACATCCTGCAATGACCCGGGTCCGCGCACCCTGGCTATGCAGGATCCTGCCAGATCTAGCCTTCTGGCTGACCCCCGTTGGCATAGACCCCCCGTCTTTTGAGCCCCGAGTCGGCCGATTCTGTACCGCCGGCGGCGTCCAGCGTGGAACGCCGGCGGCGTGGTCGCCGCCGCTCGACACGACGCCAGCTTGCCGAATGCCTCCGAGAGCAGGCCGGGGGCTACCAGCCTCGGACTTCTCCCTACCCCTGAGATTGACGAGCCAAGAGTCGATGACTAACTCAGGGATGCGTTTTCGAAAACTGAGGGGAACCATGAAGATCGGCATCGAGGGGAGGCGATGCCAATCACAACAAAAAAAAATAACGTGAAAGAAGCGGGCCCTGCAGGAAACGGGTCGTCCTGAGGGAAACGGGCCCTGCGGTGCCAGCGTTAAACCGATAGTTTCTGCCGTGCTGCCGGGGTGTCTCGCTGCAGGGGGGCGTTCGGCCGTTCGCGCCAGGGCGCCCAGCTCCGCGAGGGAAAACGCTTTGGCACGCAAACGCCGATATGTCTGTCGGAACCCTGCGGCGCCCCGAGACCCTCATCCGGGGCCCGTGGAGGGCCCCGAGAGCCCGTGGAGGGCCCCGAGAGCCCACAAACGGCGAACAGCTTCTGGACCCGCTTCCCCAAGGTAGGGGGCCACATGCGAACCCGACCCCTGCCCCCCACGATTTCCGAGGGGGCGGGTGGGGGCTCTTGGAGGCCTCGACATGGGCACCAACATCAACACAGGGGGTTGCATCCACATGGGGAGGATGATCCTAGATTTCGGTGTTGGTGGCAATATCTCGGTCACCTTAGAAGCCAGAACATTACCACCATCACCGAGATCGGGATCTTCTTCCCTCGGTGGAGGCACACCGCCGATATTGGTGTTGGTGTCAACCTCTAGGCCTTCCAGGTTCACTTCGTTCGGGAGATCCCGAGCGAAGTGAACCCCACCCTCCCCCTGACACGCTCCCGGCAGGGAAAAAGGAGGGGGGGCGGGCGGGGCCGCGGGCGGGGTCCTGCCGCGCCGCGTCCTGCTGCACCGCCGCCAGCGCCGCGTCGATGGTCGTGTGCGCCTGCCGCTGCCCGGGGCGCCGTGTCGTGGGGGACGCAGCAGTTCGCAAGCAAAGGGCCCCTGACACTTTGGAAACGGGCCCAAGTGAAGAGGCCAGAACAGCCCTGCATCTGCAGGCAAGGCCCGCGCCTTCTCGGGAGCAGGGGTGCTTCTAAGAAGCCCTCCCCCCTGCCACTACCCCCTCTGCGCGAGGCCGAAACCCAAAGACCTCCAACCCTGTGGGAGCGGACCTAAGCTAGGAGGCCCAAAACAATGGAGATTAGATAAAAAAAGGGGTTGCTGCAGCAGATGTATATCGGACCGAACCACCCATATTGGTTATCCCTATGTAATGCAAAGGCGGAGACCTCGGTTAGACTGCGCCTTCATTGTATTATTAGGGTCCAAAGAACTACTATTGTCGATGAAGCCGAGGGGTCGGTCGCTGGACTGGGTCGCCGGGATCGGTCAGGGCCAGGGGATGGGGGGTCGGTCGCCTAGAGACCTCCCAGATGGGGTCGGAGTAGATGGGGTCGGAGGATCGCGCCGCATCGACGACGCATCACCGATGCATCGGCGACGTCGGCGAAGCATCGGCGGCGTGGGCGTCGAGCAAATCAGCTCCGCATCGAGCCGCATCGCCGATGCATCGGCGATGCGGCGCGATCCTCCGACTCAGTCTACTCCGACCCCATCTGAGAGGCCTAGATCTTGGTGCGGTACCAGCACATCGATCATAAGCCCATTCTGGAGAAGCAGTCAGACAAGTAGTAGGGCTTGCACCCTCATGCCTTGCTGAGCGCTGGCGAGGTTCGGCACCCTCGGGAGGAGGTGGAGGAGGACGACGAGGAAATTCGGAAAGCAAAGACTGTATCAATGTCACGCCGGTCGAAGGACCCCATCAGCGGGTTCGCGTTAAACCGGCGCCACGACTTGCAAAACAAACAGCCTATCCACCAGCAGCTGCTGGGGTGCATTCTGACAAGGCTTTCGAGGAGAAACCAGACGTGGCGACGAGGGCCTCCCAGGAGGCCCCGCCAAAGGGCGCAAACGAGGGAAGAATAGCGGTATGGGTACCTGTTCCCCGTCTGAGCTTAAGAGATGACGCTTGCCGAGAGGTGGACCTCGGCAGAGGGACGCGCCTCGGCCGCGACCCGCTCGCAGCGACCCACCGCGTCGCGGTGGTACGCAACGATGTCGGCTTGCAGCCGGGCGTCCCTGTCCTGGTCGGGCAAGGGGAGTCTCCTCCTCCCCCTCCTCCACCTCCTCCACCTCCTCCTCGGTGAAAGGGACCGTGTCGAGCACGCTCCTAGGAGGCATAGAGGTCAGTAGAATAGCGCTGCGGAGCGAGTCTGCAGATTGCGAGATTGTGGGCACGCGCCCCAGTTGCGGAACGCTAGCATCAAGTGTCTCAGCTGTTTCAGAGGCTCTCCATCTCGAGGGAAGCTGGCGGTTTTCTGGCCTGACCCGTGCAAGCCACGCCGTGCGATACAGCAGAAGATCCAGAGCCTGTCCCCGAGAGCCGTTGCGAGTGGGATGGAGGACCCTGTCCCAGATGACCTCGCGGCTGTTCCTGTCGGTGGGGCGGCTCTGGATCACCCGATGGCCAAGTTTTGTGACCTCTCCCATCAGCTTGCAGTGCTGAGAGGTGTTCTTTTCTGCGAGGTTTGCGGTGGATTCTGAACAGTCAATCCCCCTCGGTCCCTCTCCAGGCTCTGTGGCAAGACTACTTCATCAGGCCGCGAGGTGTTGTCGCGGCTCTCCAGAGGGCTGCCCCCGAAATGGGGCACCAGTTTCCCTGATTTGTGAGTTGGTTTTTGAGCGGCCTCCCCAGAGGAGGATGACGCCTTAGGCAGAATTTAGAATTTTGAACTATCGTCATCATCATCATCATCATCATCATCATCATCATCATCATCATCATCATCATCACCACCACCATCAGCATCACCATCACCATCATCACCATCATCGTCATCATCATCATCACCACCACCATCACCATCATCATCAGTAGCAGCAGCGGCGTCACATTATCATACTCACGTCAACCATCATCATCATCATCATCATCATCATCAGCATCATCATCATCATCATCCTCATCCTCATGATCATCATCATCAGCATCGTCCTCATCAACATCATCAACCCCATAAACAGTATCATCATCATCTCCAGTATCATCAGCCTCGTCATTCATCGTCATCATCATCATCAGCATCAGCATGATCATCATCAGCATCATCATCATCATCATCACCATCATCATCATCAGCATCGTTATCGTCATCGCCAGCATCGTCACAACCACCACCATCATTACCAACATCGTCAGCATCAGCATTGTCATCATAATCATCTGCATCATCATCGTCAATCGTCACCATCATCAACATCACCATCATCAGCATCATCAACATCAATGTACTCGTCATCAACACCATCAGCATCGTCATCGTCATCATCATCACCATCATCATGATCATCATCATCATCATCATCAGCATCATCGTCATCGTCATCGTCATCGTCGTCATCATCATCATCGTCATCATCATCATCATCATCATCATCATCATCATCATCGCAATCCGTTCCCATCCTTCTCCTCCTCGCTCCTCATTCCTCATCGCGCGCGCCCCCACATCTGCTGCAGCGCGCGCGACCGCGGGGGCAAACACGCGTGGTGAACCCCAACCTCGGCGGCGCGCCGAGGGGAGAAGTGAGAGGGGGGGCAGACCTTCTCAGACGGCGGTGAAGCTTCTCAGAAGCCCTCTGGTCTCCTGGGAGGCCCCCGGCGTCTTCGGAGAAAGCTCAGAAGGCTTGTCAGAAGGCCCGCCCTCTCTACGGCAATGCCCCCGCGGGGGAAGATTTCTGGAACCCAGCTGGGGCTCCGAATTTGGAGATTGTCTCGCAAGCAGGCAAACCCGAGCGGACACACATGATGCCCCCGCAACGATTGGACCCGCAAGGGTGCCTAATGCCCCCCTCCTCGTCGGCCTCCTCTCATCTCGCTCTCGTTTCATCCCGTCTCGCCCCCCCCCACCCCTCTCGCCCCCGTCTCCAATGTCTCCCCCCTCCCTCCTCCTCCTCCTCCTCCTCCTCCTCCTCTCTTCCTCCTCCTCCTCCTCCTCCTCATCATCATCATCATCATCAGCAGCATCAGCATCAGCATCAGCATCATCATCCTGCTCCTGCTCCTGCTCCTGCTCCTGCTCCTGCTCCTGCTCCTGCTCCTGCTGCTCCTGCTGCCCCTGCTCCTGCTCCTCCTCCTCCTCCTCCTCCTCCTCCTCCTCCTCCTCCCTACCCTCCTCCTCCTTGTCCTCCTCCTCCTCCTCTTCCTCGTTGCCCCTCCTCCTCAATGAGGCCACTTTAACTATTGAGTGGCCCTTGCCCAAGCGGCTGAAAGGCAGGTGTGCGTGGCCCCGCCTCCTCCCCGCCACGCCGCGCGGGCCGCGGAAGCACCCCTCTAGGGCGACAGTGCTATCTCTTATCTCTCTCTCTCTCTCTCTCTCTTTTTCTCTCTCTCTCTCTCTCTCTCGTTCTGTCTCTCTCTCTCTTTCTCTCTCGTGGGACAGCACTGGTTGGCGTGGGAGTGTCCGTGGATGCTGCTTTTCCCTCCTGTAATCAAAACTATCTTGTATGCCATACCCTGCCCACCACAGTCAGATTCCACCTCGCGGGGGGCACGTTGAGTATACCAAAACCGCGCCCTCGGGAAGGAATTTTGCATGCCAAGCCCAAGACCAGGACCCTCGCACACACCCTATCGCTTGCAGGCATGGTATACAAACTTGTCGGGCGGATCCTGGCCCCATTCTGGACCCTTCGGGAACAATTTGGAGCTGGAGTGCTGGGCCGCATCCCGTGGCACTCCTCCCATGCTGGCTTGTGACGTCCGGATCGCACGAAGGTATCCGACCTCCTCCAATTTGGCGCGGGGTGTAGGGCGCGGTCCTTGGTTTGCTTTTCTTTTTCTTGATTTCCTCCCTAGGGCAACGCGTTTCTGGCGCTATTGGGAGTCAGTCCGAGAAAGGAAGCCTGAAGTCAGGTCCCGGCTTGTGTCCGTGATTCACCGTTTTTGCACGTGTGCCATTGGTGTTGGCCGTTGACCACGTTGGCCGTTGGCCAGGGCACGTTTGCCCGCGCTTCGTTGAGCGCCACGGTATTGTTTTGCCTTTGGGCCTGCCAACTCCTCCTCCGCCTCCCCCATCCCCTCCTCCTCGTCTTTCTCCTCTTCCTCCTCCTCCTCCTCCTCCTCCTCCTCCTCCCTCCTGCTCCTCCTCCTCCTCCTCCTCCTCATCCTCCTTCTCCTTCCCCTACTCCTCCTCCTCTTCCTCCTCCTCCTCATCATCATCATCACCATCACCATCACCATCGCCAGTTTCATCTTCGTCATCGTCATCGGCATCGTCATAATCATCATACTCATCATAATCATCATCATCATCATCATCATCACCATCATCATCATCATCATCATCATCACCACCACCACCCACCCACCACCACCACCACCACCACCACCACCACACCACCATCATCATCATCATCATCATCATCATCATCATCATCATCATCATCATCATCATCATCATCATCATCATCATCATCATGCTCCTGCCCCTGTTCCTGCTCCTGCGCCTGCTCCTGCTCCTCCTCCTTCCTGTCGCACTCCGAGGTAAGTTTTTAGGGCGTGCCGGGCGTTTCGCCTAAGACTTCCTCGCGATTTCTGACTCGGAGGCTTAAACAATTCGCCGGCCCAACGGGCCAGGGCGTGCTAAGATCTCCGGTACCTGGTTAACAGTATTTCTAATTCGCGCGCGCGGGGCGGCCCCTGGGGGTCCCCGGACGAAAAGTACCCCGGCAAGGTCCCGGCAAGTCCCCGGCAAGGTCCCGGCAAGGTCGGGCCAGAGATGCCGGAGCCCTGTTACAGGGCCCCAGGACGGGCCAAGAGGTCCCCAAGAAGCCTCCAAGACGGTCCAAGAGGGCCCCGAGACGGCCAAAGATCGCCCGAAGACGCCCAACAGGGCCCCAAGACAGCCCAAGAGGCCTCCAAGACGCCCCAAGGGCCTTCCAAGAGGCCTCCGAAGAGGGCCCCAAGAGGCCAAAATCGTTGATTTTCATTGTTTTTTTCGATGTTTTTTGCGTTCTGGCTTTTTCGGCTTCCGGACGCTCCAAGACGGCCCAAGAGGCCCCCAAGACCGCTCCAAGACGGCCCACGAGGCTCCCAAGACGGCCCCGGAACGGCCCAGGAGGGCCCCCAAGACGGCCCAAGTGCCGCCCAAGACGGACCAAGAGGCCCCAAGACGGGCCCAAGAGGGGCTCAAGAGGGGAACCGAGAACTGAAAAATCGAGCCCTCCGCCCCAGAAGGCGCCCAGGAGGCCCCAAAAAGGCCCCAAGAGGCCCCCAAGAGGCCCCCAAGACGCCCCAAGAGGCGCCCAAGAGGCCCAAAAGAGGCCCCAAGAGGCCCCAAAACGGCCCCCAAGAGGCCCCAAAACTCGGCTAGCCCACAACGGTGCGACAATATGGGCCGGCGGAATGAGCGAAGCGATTAAATAACAACCGTCTCACAGATGGAGGGCGGGTCGTTTTCAACATGTGGCTCTCGCCGTAGCGCCGCGCACATTCGCTTTAAACAATTGTAAGAGTTTCGCGGATTGAGGGCGGATCGTCTTTTTTAATGTAGCTCTCGCCTTAGCGCCGCGCACCTGCAGTATAAAAAATGCAAGAGCTTCACGGATTGAGGGCGGGTCATTTTTCAAAATGTGGTTCTCGCCTTAGCGCCGTGCACATTCTTTTAAACATTTGCAGAGCTTCACGGATTGAGGGCGGGTCGTTATCAAAATATGGTTCTCGCCTTAGCGCCGCGCACCTTCGGTTTACACATATGCAAAAGCTTCACGGATTGAGGGCGGGTCGTTTTTCAAAATGTGGTTCTCGCCTTAGCGCCGCGCGTCTTCGTTTTAGACATTTGCAAAGGCTTCGCGGATTGAGGACGGGTCGTTTTCAAAATGTGGCTCTCGCCTTATCGCCGGGCACCTTCGGTTTAAACATTTGCAAGGGCTTCACGGGATGTGGGCGGTTCCTTTCCAACATGTGGCTCTCGCATTAGTGCCGCGCACATTCGTTTTAATCATTTGCAAGAGTTTCACGGATTCCCATGATCAACGTACCAGAAATGGCTTTTGCTGGAAGGATTCAAGATCATGCGGGCGCAACAGTTATGTTGGTTTGCTGTGTTGAACTCCCAGAAATGGCGTTTCGGTGCGATTCTGAATCGTCAAGACGCAGCAGTCAGGTTGATACGTGGCGTTGAAATCCCGAGAACCATGTTTTGGCACGCTTCAGGATATTCAAACTGTTGTCTTCCAACGAGGCAATTCCCTCAATGGGCATGAACCGTTGTAGCGGCCTATGAAGAGGGAGCTTGGAGGGAAGGTGAATTCCAACATCGTTGCTGACTCTTGGGTTTCCACTGGTCCTCTTCCTCCTCCTCCTCCATCATCTCCCCCTTTCTCCTCCTTGTCCTCCTAGGCGTCGGCCCATTCTCGAGCCCGCATTTTGCGTCGTTCCAGAGTTTGAGGCCACCCTGGGCACTGGCCCGCAGGTCGGCGTCGCCTCCACTTCTTCCCACGTCAGAGCCCGCCTGGCACCGCAAGATGCGCCAAGTGGCTGTGCGCCAGGCCCAGGCGCGCGCTGCACACCTGCTGGCCATCCTCAAGCCCGCGCCCACGACGGAGGCCCTGACGTGCCTGCCCGCTGCGGATGGCGCCGCGCTCGCTGCGCAATGGCTTCGGGCAACCTCGGCTTCGCGCACGCCTCTTCGCAGCCAGGTTGCCGTGTACCATCCTCGGGCCGTCCTTCCTGTGCGTGGTGACGCTGCTCGCGCTGCCCCCGCTCGTGGAGATGCTCGTCGTGTGCTTCGACCCGCTGCTGCTGGTCTGGATGGGCCTCGGCCAGGTGTCGACGATCGTGCGAGTGATGCTGGTTCCCTCGACACGTCCGATGCCGAGGAAGACGGTGTCTCGCCGTCCATCAGCACAGCTGACTCCGACGACGTCGCCTACGACAGGCGGTACAGCCTCGGACTCGGACGACCTGCACCCGTTCGCGGAGAAGCCGCAGCCGCTGCCGCCGCTGGTGCTGTCTCTCGCGGAGCGTCACCTTGTGGAGTTTCTGCCGCTTCCGCTCGTGCCCATCTGCGCGCAGAGCCTAGTGTGGAGGCAGTCAACCCTCTCTCTGGTGCGGCCGACGGCGCGCCGCAGCACGATGATGGTGGTCTCGCGGTGCGAGTGGGTGGTGCAGTCCATGTTCCTCGGCCAGCTCAGCACTGTGTGGCGGGCCTGGCTGCAGCTGCTGTCGTCGAAAGTGCCGATCCTTGCGGGCCCGTGCCTTGTGGAGCTGCTGCCGCCACCGGTCTTGCCGATCGTTGTGAAGGAGCTGATGGAGACGTCGTCGCCGTCGGCGCCCTCGTCGATTGGGGCGCCGTGCCCGCCATTGTGGCGAGCGAGGTGGTCACCCTGGTGATCGCGATGGTCTGCGACGTGTTCCTGGTGAAGGCCGCCCTGGCCGCGTGCAGGCTCTCCGTGCCGCCCTCCTCGGCCTCCTCCTCCTCCTCCTCCCCCCTCGGCCTCCGCCTGCCTGCCCTGTGCAGTGTGGGAGGGGGAGCGGGGCCAGTCCGCCGACCCCCGCCTCGGCGGGAGCGGTGCTGAGGGGGCGGTGTGGAATGGGGGGGGGGGTCGTGCGCGGTGCCATGCTGCAGCCAGGCTGTCCCCTCCTCCTCCTCCTCCTCCTCCTCCTCCTCCTCCTCCTCCTCCTCTACCTACGTCCCTTCCGTGGCGAGTGACAACGGAGATGCTCGGGAGCTCGCTTGGGAGATGCTTGCCCAAGGTGAGGGCTCGTGTTGTATCTGCGACGCGGGCCTCTTCTGCAGGTGGCACGACCCTGACGACGGGTGGGAAGACTGGGGATGCGACCTGCCTCCCCGCAATGTGCCCATTCAAAGGAAGAGATCGTGCGGAGACTTCGTTAGTGTCACCTTTCTTCCTGATTTGATGCCTGGCTATGCTTATTGTTAGCCGCGGTGTCTGTGCTGTGCTTTTTTGGGGGTTTCCTGCAATGCCGCCCTTCGGCGCGCATCAAATATTCTGTCTGAGTGGATATTGTGATTGCCGACTCGCCTGCTGCCAACCGTGTGGCTTGGCTCTGCTGAGTCACTCGTGTCCGTGGCCTGGCGCACCTCGAGGCCTACACGACGGACTGCTCGTGCCCGCTGGGTTTGTCCGATCTCTCTTTTAGCTCTGTGTTGCGCTCGCTATCCTTTTCCAACCGTCTCACCTTTTCCCTGGTCCCGTCTCGGCGCACTCATCGGCTTTGGTGGTGCCTCCCCCTCTTCCTCTTCTTCCTCCTCCTTCTCCCCCTCCTACTCCACCTCCCCCTCCCCCTCCTCCTCCTCCTGTTCCTTCTCCTCCGCCTCCGCTCCTCTCAGTATACCCCTCCTCGGGTACGCTGAGGAGTGGGGCCAGGTAGAGAGAGAGAGAGAGAGGGAGACGAGCGCAACACGTCCCGAGGCATGCGCGCGGACGATGGGGGCCAGGGGATGGGGGGGGACCCAGCACGGTGCGGTGACAGAACAATGCGGCGAACTGACGACCCCCAAAGACCTCGCCGCATGGCCCGCCACAGCACGGCTTTGGGCCTCTGGAGGCCCCAAAACCGTGCGCGGTCACCCAGAATCCCCGCTGACTCACCACACGGTGCGAGGCTGTGAATATGCCCAGGGCGACCGCTTGGGGCGCCGGTGGGTCTGACCTGCTCAGGTGCGTGCGGCGAGACGACCGTGCGGGCGGCGCCGAAGACGACGCCGACGACGATGACGACGCCGACGACGTCGACACCGACGACCGACGACGACGACGACGACGACGACGACGACGACGACGGACGACGACGACGACGACGACGACCGGCGACGACGACGGACGACCGACCGACCGACCGACCGACCGACGACGGCGACGACGACGAGGCGAGGTGTGAGATGTAATATGTGAGGTGCCTCCCGCCCTCAATCTAACTACCTACTAAACCACCCCAATCGGAGCCGAAGGCCCAAAATTCGGGTTGGGGGACGGGTTCCACGTGTTTTTTTCAAGACTCCCCGACGAGGAGGGCAAATTGAGGTTTTCGGGTTGGGTTGGGGTGGTTTGGTGGGTGCTGACAATCACTCCCCTTCCCGCCCAGGGTCCAAAAGGCCTCAGAGGTTTCCTGAGTTTCTCGAATGGCCCAAAAATTTGGGACCCAACCCTAGGACATACGATCGCGGTGCGTCCAAGCCTCGATCGGGGTGCGTCCTAATAGCCCCCTTGGGGTGTATACCAGGGTTTCTCTCCTTGTCTGAGAGGCTTAATTTTGTTCAGAAAGTCAAGGGCTGCGGGAGAGAAAGCACCTGCGATTCCCGCCCCGGGGCAGAGAGGGCCCCAGAGCCGCCGTCCTCGAGCGGCGCTACGGCGCGCCGGGCCTTCTCCTCCGCGGCGGCGAGGCGAGCCTCAAACTCCTCCCGCGCCTGCCTGGTCGATGGGCCGCCGCCATCGACGCGGCCGCGGCCGCGGCCGTCGCCGTCGCCCTCTCGCGGCAGCTGGCGCGCGCCTCCGCGCGGCCGCCGCCGCCCCCGCCGCCGCTGCCGCGCGGCGGTGGCTACGGCCGCGGCGGCGACGACAACGCCGGTCGCGGCGACAACGGGGGCCACGGCGCCGCGCGGCAGCAGCCGCTGCGGCGCTGCGGTGGCCACGGCTCGCGGCGACGGCAGCGGCGGCAACGGCGGTGGCGGCGACGACGGCGACGGCAGCGTCATCGGCGATGGCGGCAATGACGAGGGGGAGAACGGAAGTAGGAGAGGGCGGGGAGACAGCAGAGGCCAAGCAGGGTCAGAAGAGACAGACGGTGGTCCAGGGTTGGGGAGGACCATCGGGAAAGGGCGAAGCCGCACGTTGGGCTGAAGACAAGCTATATGCCCGAACGGAGGAAGGTACGGTACGGGACGACGACCACAACGACTACAGCGACGTCGACGACGCCGACGCCGTCGACCAGTCCCACATCCCGCGCTGCTTTCCGAGGAGAGGAGACCCTGAGATCCGACGTCCTGAAAAAAATGTGACATCGTGGAAAAAATCGAGAATGGCGCCCCGAACCCAATCTTTCTGCGCCATTTTTCGAGCCGGATCGATCTGTACGGGTCCCGGAGACTGGGCGAAGACGTCCAGCTCGAGAAAATGGAATCGCCAGGACCTCAGGGGAGGAGGAAAGAGGAGGAGGGAGGAAGAGGCGGAGGATGAGCTCGGCATCGATGGCGACGGCGACAACGGCCAACGCCCGCGCCCGAGCCTTAGGCGCTGATCCACATCGCGCGCCGCGTCCTCGAGGGCCACCTGCTGCGACGTGCGGATGGCGGCGCTGGCGTCCTGGGGGCGCGGCGCGGCGCGGGCGGCTTCCATCCTCCTCCACCCGCTCCCCCTCCTCCTTCTCCTCGTCGTCGTCGTCCTCTCAGACCTCTCAGACCTGGCGGACACTCTGTCATCCACAGAACGACGAGCGACGACTGCATAATTAGGACTCCCAGGACGAAGTCGGCTGGCCAGGGGCAGGGGGCAGAGGCGGGGGAGGAAGGGGGAAGAAAGGAAGAGACGAGAAAGGAAGGGTGGGCACAAACCGACATTCCGTCCCAGGTAGCAGTCCCGTGAGGGGCTCGGAACGTTCCGAACTCTTGCGAAAGGGGCTCACAGACGCTTAAGAGGCGGGCAGAAGCTTTGCACGTGGCGAAGCCGCCGCGCCTCACACTGTAAATAACTGGCACATCAGTCTCCATCACCCTAGCCCAGTGCAACACCTGCTGATCACCCACATTGGCCACGCAGAAGCGCGATCATCGTCGGGTTCGCCTCAGCACAGGCAGTGACAGTGTCTGGTGTGACGGCTCGGAGGCACCTTGAGCAGCGATGCTAGCCACCACGAGGTACCAACACATACTGACTCCTGAACCGAGGTGGCATCGTCGTCGTACTCCTATTCCTCCTCTTCTTCTTCCTCCTCCTCCTCCTCCGCCATCCTCCTCTGTCGTCATCCTCCTCCTCCGTCGTCCTCCTCCTCCGCACTCCGTCCTTTATTCTGCTTCTCCTCCTCCTCCGCCCCCATCCATTTTCCCTTATACATCACTCCTCGCTGTCGCACCCCGAGACGCGTCGCTATTGCGGGCCAGGCGCTTCGCCTGAGACTCCCTCGCCATTCATGCCATGTGTTATGAGCCTGAGGCGTAACATCGGCAAGAGATTGACGGATGGAGGGCGTATAGCTTCCAAAATGTGGTTCTCGCCTCAGCGCCGCGCACGTTCGCCTCAAACGTATGCAAGAGCTTCACGGATGGATGGCGGGTGGTTTTGAACATGTGGCTCTCAGCGCCGCGCACATTCGTCTTGGAAGCTTGCAAGATGTTCACGAATGGGTGGCGGGTGGTTACAAAATGTGGCTCTCCCCATCGCGTCGCGCACATTCGTCTCGACAGTTTACAAGGGCTTCAAGGATAAAGGGCGGGTGGTATTCAACCTGTGACGCTCGCTTATAGCCGCGTACACTCGTCTTAAACATGTACACGGTCTGCACGGATGGAGGGCGGGCTGTTTCCAAAATGTGGTTGTCGCCTGGGCACCGCGCACATTCGTCTTATTCGCTTCGCCGCCGCGCACACTCGTTCCAAAAATTTGCGTAGGTTTCACTGGTGGAGTGCGGTTCCTTGTCAGAATGTGACAACCGCCTCAGCGATGTGCACATTCGTTTCAAAGTTTGTAAGACTTTTAAGGATGCATAGCGGGTGGTTTTCAAAACGCGGCTCTCGCCTGAGCACCGCGCACATTCAACTTCAAAATGTCTAGGAGGCTCACGGATGGAAAACGGCTGTTTTTCAACATGTGGCTCTCGCTTTACAGCCGCAGACATTCGTCGGATTCTTGTGGCTGGCGTCCCAGGAATGGTTTTCAGGCACGTCGTAGGATTGCCAGGGCGCAGCAGTTCCGTTGATTCGAGCTGTTGAAATCCATGGGATTGCGTTCTGGTGCGATTCAAGATCGTCAGGGCGGAACAACAAGGTCGATTCGCGGCGTCGAAGGCCCAAGCAACCGTGTTTGGGCACGCTTGATCATTCTCAGACAGTTGGATTTGTCTTTCAACGGGGCACTTCCAGCAGTGAAAATAAATCCTTGTAGGAACCTATGAAGAGGCAACTTGGAGAGAGGGCTTATTGCAATGCACCTTGTAAACCCACACTGCTCCTCCTCCTCCTCCTCCTGCTCCTCCTCCCCCTCCTCCTCTTTCTCTGTCCTCCTCCTCCTCCTCCTCCTCCTCCTCCTCCTCCTCCTCCTCCTCCTCCGCCCGCCGTCATTATCTTTCCTCCTCCTCCACCTGCTCCTCCTGCCGGGGGCCCAACGCCTCGAAAAACGGCGCGTGGCCCCCTGGGGTGCACACAATGTCCGGTCCCGCCGCGCGCGCGCCGGGCTAGGCCCGCCGCCAGCGCCGCCCCCCCCGCGCCGCGCCGAGCGCGCGCCGCTTCGTCGCCCTCCTCTTCCTCCTCCTCCTCCTCTTCCTCCTTTTCCTCCTCCTCATCCTACTCTCCGTCATCCGTCCTCCTCCTCCTCCTCCTCTGCCTCTCCGCCTCCTCGACTTGACACTGCAGGCGCCCAGAAGGCGAAGTAGGAGACAGGAAGCAGGAGGTCGGAGGCAACAGGAGGCTAGGGGGAAGACGGGAGGAGGCAGGAGGAGGAGGAAGGGAAGGAGGCGGGAGGAAACAGGAACTTGCAGCACTGTTCGATTCAACGAGAAGACCCAATCATAAGAAGTTTTGGGGAGGGGGGGACAGCACAAATACAAAAAACATCACCGCCGCACTTACACACAAACTAAAGAGCACGCCTTATTCAGCCACTCAAACGGAAAAGACCAATCTAGTCGGCAAGACTGTCCAGCCGGGTTGGAGCGACACAGCACAATGCTGCACCAGCGGCCACCTCCGACAGAGAGCCTCTGGGACTCAGATCGCACTCACTGGCAAGTCTCCCCCCCAGACACACACACAGACACATACACACAAACACGCACACACACACACACACACACACACACACACACACACACACGTCGTGTTAAATCAAAACGGAAGATGTTGTTTCAATGTTATGGTTCCATGGGGCCTGTCGGGGCCCGGCGGCGAAACATTGGGGACCGTCAACAAGGCGACACAGGATGAAAAGGCAACAACTGTCAAAGCACCACTGCGGCTTGGGTTGGCCCCTTTGCTGAACTATCACCACCCTGGGGGGTCATCGGCACTCTGATTGGGAAACCGCAGCAGGAAATCGCGACCGCCTGTCTTTTCGGCGCTCTCGGCCTCTGAAGCCGCTTCCTACCCCCAGCACCGTAAAAAATACACATGATGCAAAGCCAGCCCCTCGGCCATTCACGCGCCAGGAGAGTGACCCTAGGCAAGAGTCTTTGGTGTGCAGCTGTGGGGTGTCGTGGAGGGGAGGGGGGAGGGGGGGGGGGCGGGGGGCAAATCCAAGCGCGCACGCCAGTGCTGGGCGGGATCCCTTTCGGCCCGCACCAACGGTCACTCCAGCGAACCGGGGGCGTGCGAGAGAGGGACGTCCAAGAGGGGGGTTCGCAAATCATTGCCGGAGGCATGTGCGCGGACAAGGGGGAGCACGAAATCAGGAGAGATATCACGACTCCAGCCATGATATCGACACACCCCCAGTCGTCACCCCTCTCTTGGACGCCCCCGAGCGACGGGTTACTCTGGGGCGCAGAGGAATGGGGGTGCGGTAAATGAGGAGGTAGAGCAAGGTGCACCGTCTGTGCCCGAAAGGCGCCCTGAAGGGGCCCTGTGGAGCCCGAAAGAGGAACGCTTCACCCCACAAAATTGATCGCCCCCTCCATGAGCTAATGCCCGACGCCCGCACGCGAAGCCGACCTCGGGGAAAAAAGTCGAACTCCCCGGGGGCCCACGCGAGGGGCCCTGCCACCAGCGGGGCCGCGCGGCGCCACGGCTTCCGTCGGCGTCGTCGTCGGCCGTCGTCGTCGTCCGCCGTCGTGATCGTCGTGGCGTCCCGTCGGCGTCGTCGTCGGCAAAGACGTTGTGCGTCGTCGCCGTCCGTCGAAGAGCCGTTCGTTGTCGGCGGCGGCGTCGTCGTCTGCTGTCGGCGTCCGTTGTCGTCGTCGTCGTCCGTCGACATGATCGTCATGGTCATCCGCCGCCGGCGTCGTCGACGAGGTCGTCGTGCGTCGTCGCCGTCCGTCGTCGTGCAGTGCCGTACCTTGTCGGCGGCGGCGTACTCGTCCGTTGTCGTCGTCGTCGTGCGCCGTAGTCGTCCGTCGTCGTCTTGCGCCGTCGTCGCCGTCGTCGTGCGTCGTCGTCGTCCGTCGTCTCCCGCGGGGCCCGCGATGCGCCTCGAGGCGGGCCAGCTCCGAGCGCAGCTGGTCCGAGTGCTCCGCCGCGGTGGCGCGCACCATGGCGCGCAGCTCGAAGTCGCACTGCGAAAGCTTCGAGGCCTCCGCCGCCAACAGCCCCGTGGCCCCTCCTGGGCCCAGGATCGGCATTCACAGTCCAAACTGACAGTGAGGAAGCGCGATAAGGACGCAAGCACCTCAACGCCCACGACGAAGCTTCTCGAACGGGGCTCGCCATCGAAAGAGGTTGAGGGTTGAGGATGGAACGAACAGACAAGGATGCAGGGGGGTACACCCTTCCGATTTCTTTGACTTCACGAGGACCTGTATCAAGGATGCAGGGATGCAAGGATGTCTCCGACTTTCCGGTTCGATGCAGGGAAATCTGCATCACCGATTTCGACTGTTACGCCCCCCTTGGGTCGGCCGGGGAGGCGCAGGCCACCAATCCCGGGCCCGGGACAGCGGCCTGGCCGGAATGAATGAGGTGGCCACCCGACGACGACGACGTCGACGACGACGAAGACTACATCCGCACGGAGGGGAGCGCACGCCAAGCTCCCCCCAAGCTCCCGGAAGCCTCCGAGAGCCCCCTCCGAGAAGCCGACCCCCCCGCCAATCGGCGCCGCCTCCACCCGGAGGGGGAAGAGCCGCTCTCGAGAGGCGCGCTCGAGCAACAGACGACAGCAGCGGTTGCAGTCATCGAGCTGCCACACGGAGCAGCGAAGGAGCTTGCGGCCATGGCGTGCCTCGGAGACGAAGAGGCTCCCCGACCTGGATCCGAGGAGCAGCCCGAAAACCAGAGCCCCTCCTGGGCAATGTGGGCAAAGCTGTCCTGAATTCGGCATCTTGACTGCAGGCTCGAACTACCCGTCGGTCGGGAGAAGAGAATCGAAACATGAAGCAGGAAGGCGTTGGAAATAGATGGGGCTTCCACCCGCCCCCTGAAGAGGAGGGTGAAAGGAAAACCACTCGATCCTTGAATCAGGAAGAGTCGAAAGTAGATTGGAATCTGGGAACCCAACAATACCTGCGTTCAACGACCGACGTGTAGCTCTCAACCGAAGCTCGCCAGGGCAAGCTCGAGAGGGCTCCCTATGGGATGCAGTGAGGGGCCTGGGGGACGAAGAGGGGAAGCGGAGGAGGCGGATCAAGGGGAAGCGCGAAAAGGCGGCGGGGGAAGAGAAACGGGAGGAGGGTGGGGGGCTGGTGGGGCGAAGAGAGAGAACATGAAGGGAGGAGATGGGAGAATATCCCCGCTCTCCCTCTCTTCTCCTACCCGGGGTCCTACCCCCTCCTCCGCTGCGTCGTCCTCGGACTGATGCTCCCTCTCTCTCTCTCTCTCTCTCTATATATATGCGCTTTCTGGGGAAGGAGGCGGAGAGGTCCTCTGCGTCGTCGTCTCTCTCTCTCTCTGTCTGTCTGTCTCTCTATATATATACATATATATATATATATATATATATGCATATGTTCACCTTCTGGGAACACGAGGCGGAGCCTCTCTGCGTCGCCATCATATTGATGCCCCTCATATCACTTCACCTTTTGGGACACCATATAGGAGAAGGATGCGGAGGTCCTCTGCGTCGCCCTTCTATTGATACCCCTCTTTTTTCCTCTCTCTCTCTGTCTCTTTCCTCTGGGGATACCACAGGGGGAGGAGGCGGATGTCCTCCACAACGCCATGGTATTGATATCCCCCCTCTCTCTTCGGACTCTGGGGAAACCACACTTGCCATCGCTCGGACGTGTGTTCGCCTTGCATGTTTCGGTTTCGTGCATAACTTTTTGTTGCAAGATGACCCAGGATGCTCTTCGATGGCCCCCACCGATAATGAAACCTTGTGTTGATTATTAATGTAAAACGCACACGTCCGAGCTAAGCAGCAAGGGAACAGGCGGAGGTCCTCTTCGTCGCCCTGGCACTGATACCCCACCCTCTCTTCACGTCCAGCGTCTGGAACAAGCAAGGCGGAGAGGGGCGAGGAGAAGCGAGACGCACCATTGTCTAAGTCGGCGGCACAAAAGGTCCTCAAGCGCGGGCAGCAAATGGAAGTGCGAATTGCGATCGAGCATTGCCGGAAGCACAGTGTACGAGATGTCGCGCACTAAGCGAGACACACCAGCGGCCAGCGCTCAAGCTCTCAGGGTGCGCAGGGCAGCGGGCGGGCCGGCGCGGCGAGGCCTGGATGGCCTGCGTGTCGACGACCTGCCGCCTCAGCCGGGCCTCGACCTCCGCGAGCTCCGTCTCCTTGCCCCGCGCCGCCGCCGCGTGCGGGGGGGGGGGGCTGAGAGCTCCCAGGGGGAACTCCCTCCTCTAGGGGGAGCAGGGGGGGGAGGAGGAGGACTGAGGAGAGGGCCTCCATCCTCCGGTTCTAGGATTCTGGGATTCTAGGTCGGCCTCGCGCGCGTCCGGGGAGGGGCGCGAGATCCAGGTAGAAAGGGACAAGACAACCGCTGACGACGACAACGAGGAAACGACTCAACGACGACGAGCGACCGCAGCGACGCGAACGAAAACGACAAAACGACGACGACGGCGGCGGCGGCCAGCACTACTCAGCCTCACGCCGCGCGCGAGCCTCAGTGCCCCGTCCCTCCCCTGGGAGGATGAGGAAGAGGAGGAGAAGGACACGCCTACACGTCCGAGCGCACCGAACAAGGGAAGATTGGAAGGCAAGGCGGGTGGGAAGGACGGGCACATACAAACAAACAACTCGGCGAGCGTGAAGGCAGGACACGTGCACCGAATACAAGGGGTCGGGGGACTGGGGAAGGGGCCCATTCCACCCACCCCTCCCCGCGGAGGAAGAGGGGAGGAGGAGGACTGGGGGAAGAGGCCCATCCGTCCTCCAGGAGGAGAAAAGGGCAGGGGGAGGACGGGAGGGTCGAAATCCCCTCTGCCTTCTCTAGAGGAACAAAAAACTGATGAGCATAAACATTTGGCGCTCCGCGCGGAGCCCCAACAAATTATGTTTATGCAATTTTGTTTCTCTTCGGTTCTTCTGGAGGGATCTCCAGAGGCTTCCAGACTCCCGCGGGATGCCTGCACCCCTGCTCCGTCCTCTCGGGTGGGGGAAGAGTGCGCCGTTCGCGCGAAAACAGTTCGCGCGAAAACTGCGGCCGTTCGAGCGAAAACCTTTCGGCGCGTGCGCGCGAAAAAGAAATAAAGCGCTGCGGGTTCTTCCCTGATCCTCCCCGTGGTCCCCTCTTCTCTGATATCCCCCTCGACCTCCCTCTCCTCCTCATCCTCCTCCTCCTCCGCCGTCCTCCTCCTCCTCATTCTCCTCCTCCTCATCCTCCCCCTCCCCCTCCTCTTCCAAATCCTCCCTCCTCCTCCTCCTCCTCCTCCTCCTCCTCTCCTCCCTCCTCCCCCCAGCCTCTCCTCCGCCGTCCTCCTCTCCTTCTCCTCCTCTTGCTCCTCCTCCTCTTCCTCCTCCTCCTCCTCCTCCTCCTCTCCTCCTCCTCCTCCTCCTCCTCCTCCTCTTCCTCCTCCGCCGTCCTCCTCCTCCTTTTCCTCCTCCTCCTCTCACTCCTCCCCCTCCTCCTCCACCTCCTCCTACTCCTCCTCCTCCTCTTCCTCCTCCTCCTCCTCGAGCACGCAGCGTGGAGCAAAGAACCGCGGCTTGGCTGCTCCTGCACCCGCGATTAGCGGGAACCGGGATTCCTGCGCGTTCCAGGCAGGAGCTCAAATCCCGGTTCCCGCCAGCCGCGGGGCGCAGGGGCGCCAAAGACCAAAATTTCCACGCCCCTGCGCCCCGCAATTGGGGGGAACCGGGATTTCAGCACGTTCCGGACAGGAACTCTTCGAAATCCCCGCCAGCCGCGGGGCGCAGCGGCTCACGGGGCCAAGGTCCCCACGCCCCCCGCAGCTGGCGGGAACCGCGACTTCCACACGCACAGGAGCCAACCAAAATCGAGAGGTCATCCGAATGCTGAAATAATATGCGTGATGTTTTTGTGCAGTGATTTTGCGTAAGTGTTTTTGCGTAGTGCTTCTGCGTAGTGCTTTTACGTAGTGCTTTTGCGCCGTGTTTTTGCATCGTGTTCTTGTTGCGTAGTGTTTTAGGTAGTGTTTGTGCGTAGTCCTTTGGCGTGACGTTTTGGCGTAGTGGTTGTTCGTAGTGTTTTTGCGCAGGGTTTTCGCACAGGGTCTTCGCGTGATGTACTTCGGCGCCGCGTTTGCGCGTAGCGTTCTTTGGCGTAGAGTTGTCGCGTGGCACTTTCGTCGCGCAGCGTTTCTGCGAAGTGTTTTTGTTTGTTTTCCTTTTTTTCGTAGCGTGTTTGCGAAGCGGTTTTGCTCGCGTAGCGTTTCTGCGCAGCGCTGTGGTTGCGTAAGGTGTTCGCTCAGTTTTTTTCGTCCAGTCTGTTTTGTTTGCGTCGCTGTTTTTCCTCGTAAAAATTTCGCGTGATGTGTTCGTCTACTGCTTTGGCGAACTGCGTTCGCGTGGTATTCGGTTTGCGTAAAGGGTTATGCGAAATATGTTTGCGTACTGTTTTTGCGCCGTGTTTTTGCGTAGGGTTTTGCACAGGGTCTTCGCATAATGTTTTCGGCGTCGCATTAGTGCGCAGAGATCTTCGGCGTAGAGTTGTCGCGTGGCGCTGTCGTCGAGCGTTTCTGCGAAGTGTGTGTATGTGTGTGTGTGTTTGTGAGTGTGTGTTTTGGCGCAGCGTTTCAGCGAAGCGAATTTTCGCGTAGCGTTTCTGCGCAGCGCCTTGGTTGCGTAAGGTGTTCGCTCAGTGCGTTTGTTCGTCCAGTCTGTTTTGTTTGCGTCGCGTTTCCGCCCCCCCCCCCTTTTGCTCGTAACGTTTTCGCGTGATGTGTTTTGCTTACTGCTTTGGCGTACTGTGTTCATGCGCGCTCTGTCGCGGTCCGTGCGCGGTTACCTTCTTCGAGCAAGCGCTTTTAAATAATTCCCGGAAACCTAGTCCGCGCGAGAGCTCTCTCCTCCAATATTGCGGCCGTCTGCGACGGAAACCAATCAACGCAATGCGACAATAATATACGTAGTGCTTTTACGTAGTGTGTTCACGTACAGGTGCTACAACTACTCCGACTCCGACTACTCCCACTTCGACTCCTACTCCGATTCCCGCTACTCCTGC